TATTACATGTAAATTATATTTATTGTATTAGGATTTCACTCAGTATTTCAATCTTTTGTGTCATTTAGTAAATCATGATAATTATAAAGAAAAACTGAGATTTGAAATGATCATATTTTAAAAACTTCTTGTTATAAGGGATTGAAAATCACAAACATTATTCAAGAAAGTTTGAACATAGTATATCTCATTGTTGTCCTAGCTTTTGTGATGTGTGCTGAATTGCATGCTATGTTTATTTTCTCAATATTTCAGTATTGGTATACAGTTTTACTGTGCATTACTACTCTCATTTTTTGTAGTCTTATCCATTTGGATATTTTTCTCTAATATTATATAACTGCAGTTTCAGAAGTTAAAGTTTTACTGTACTGCACATTTGTTAATCATAATTGTAAACAAAAACAAGAATTTGTGGCTTCACACAGACTTTTTGAATTTTTTAATAAAATTACTATTTTTTTGTTTAAAGTATAGAAAAGTGTTATGTAAACAGGTGATATATGTACAGAGTCACAATAATGAGTAACTTCTCTTAAATAGCCAATACATCATCAGTGCAATATATTATACCAGGGAATACAGTTTTACAGTGCACTAGTATTTTGTATTTGCTTTAAACATAGCATTACACCTTCTTTTATTATTTTAGTAGTGTATCCTTGTGAAATATTGTTGTAAATATCCTGTAGTGTCTTCCATAACTTAGCAAGCTGTTTGGATGCTATTTGACTTTGTAGGTTCCAGCCTACATAATATTCATACAAGGACTTTGTACAGGCAAAACCATGGATGTTAGTGTTCCATTGGTCTTTCTTTCTCTTCCAAGCATTGTCTCACCAAATATGTTGTTTGCTTGGAGGTAAATCCTTGCCCAACAAGTCTTTTTCTTGAGGATTGAAATGATGGATAAGAATCTACATGTGTGTCTCTCCATTGAATACTCTATATTGATTGTTGGCAAAAAAGTAAATGTAGATTCATTTGTTAAGAGCACCTTCTTCCAGATTTACTCATTTCATTGTTTGAAGTCCGATGCCTATTTAAGCTTTTTCTTTAGTTTTTCTCTCTCAAACTGTGTTTTTTGAGCAGTTTCACTTCCATTGAGGCTTCTTTATGCTAATATGTGTCTTGCTCTTCTGGATGTAACATTCACACCTATATTTACAGGTAGATCATTGGCAAGATCTCTACTGAATTGTTTTGCATCATGTAGAGAGCATACACTGAGTTTCTTAATGTCACTTTTGAAGAGTTTGAGCTTTCTACCTTGACCACTTCTATAAACAAAGATACTAGTTTGTCATACACTCTTCAGAGTTTCCATACAGCTACTATTGATTCAACAATTTTCTTTTCAGTCTGTCACATGGAATAGACTTCATCAACCAAAACTGTTGTTCCTTTACAAGTTTGTTATATGGCTCATTTGTCTGGCAAACCATTAATACATTTACCACACTACTACTGGGAATAGTATGACTGCTTGTACTGGATGAGAGCCAGTCACAATATAACCTATGAACATGTGACAGTGCTTTGATGTAATTCATTTTCATACAATAGAGGAGGGGGATCATTCACACAATATTTGCATTTTATATCAAATTTATTCATTGTTTTCATATGTATTTACAATCCTGCAGTTTGCTCAAACATTCTTTGGCCCAAAGTGTCTCACGCATTGTAGTCTTAAAAGTTTTGGTGTGATTTAATGATAAAAATGAAAGCATTTGTTGATTAGTTGGTTTGACATACTCCATATTCAACTACAAGAATGCTCAACTCAACAAACTTTCTGGTTTCTGCATTCATTAAACCCATCTTGTGTTTCAGTAATTGAAAATATAAAAGTAATCTGCAGGTTAGTAAATACCATGTATAGTAGTTTCCACTGCTTTATTTAACTATTTATTCCTGCTTCTACTCGTTATGCTTTTGTAAGAAATCATGAAAGTTTGAATTCTACAGTAAGGTATTCGATACTCATGTAGGCAGAAAGAGTAGCATCTAGATTTTGATACCCATTTTGTGATGATAATACAATGCATCCCTATATTTTCTATTGGAGCTTCTACATCATGGTTGCATCCAGGGTTGAATGTTTTCAACGTAATTTTGGAATGTGTAATGAGTAATTGCTGCATCACTATTTTACCCATCACTAGTGTGTGGACTAAGAACCAACATAGTATACCCATCAATAAATATAGTAATTTCTGGTTTGATAAGAGGCTGCTGCTTGCTCATACTATAACTTTTCCTCTGGAATGCATACTTGGCAGCTTTCTATATATACACGTATATGGCATCTAAGACTAAAATAAAAATTTTGTTTCTTTCTAATAAAAGGTAATATACAAAAGAACAGGTATGATTAAATAACTAATTATTGGTGCTGATATGTCTAATCTAAAACACAGAAAAACAACATTACTCTCAAAGCCAATAATGACTCTTTACAGTAAAAATATTTTCCATGCCCAGAATTGTTGACAAAAGTCTGTTAAGTAACTCAGTATGGAGCTTAGCAAGAAGAATACTCAAACAGGCATAGACTAACCTTAGATTGGTACTTTTCAAATATGGAATCTTGGAAAACAGGTCACCAAAGTAAGACTTAGTTAGTCCAGCCACATCAAAGTGTTCATCATCAGTTATATTCCATAACCTATCAAAGTATGTTCCACTAGGTTTTCTCTCTTTTTTGCTGCTATATGTATTTTTCCAAAGGATCAAATCTATTCTATTATGATAGGTATGTTCATTTGAAGAACTTTGCATCTTTCACATGGCACAAATCAGGTATAGATGCTTTCTCTACAAGTGACTTTTGATACCAGTTTCTAGCAGGAGTGACAATACATTGCATAATAAATACTTGGGTTTGTACTTTATTTGGTATAACAGTCAGTTAAATACATTTTGGGCACTACAAATTTGGCATGGCTGTTGTCCACTGCCCTGATGTTCAGTCTTGAATGCTCAGAGTTTGCACATCTTGGATAATTTCTGTCTTTTTCGCTCATCTGAAGGAGGATGATTATCACCTGCATGGTATTTGGAATAATAGTAGTGTTAATGGTACAAATAGCACCATCTTCATCAGTAGTTTTCTTCTCTCTTTGAAGGTATGATCATAGTTCACCATTATATGGTACTAATATACCTTTTTCCTGTAGACCGAACCTTCACGTGGCATGACTAAATGGTGTTATGACTTCAGTGTGAGCCACTCAGTAAGCAATATGTCAAAAAATTTATCCCATTACTACAAAAGTGGTTTATTTTATTGCATTATGTTATTTCTAATGTGTTATCATGAAGTTAGCTCTACATAGGATTAGTGTAGATTTTTCTGTAGTATCTTTTGTATGTTTTGTTTTTGCATCACAAAATAAAAGGTTCAAGCACATCAAAATATGACAAACCTTTAAACTTTAGCTTAAATGCTAGATTTTATGACAAATAGCCAGTACCTTTAAGCATTTATCACACCTCAAAATGATAAACAATGTACTGGAGACTGAAGTTGGTGAAAAATGGCACTCGCATGGTAAAATTGATGCAAAGGAGGTAAAATTATCTTAAAATGAGTGAGCCTGCATAGGATTCAGTATGCATGGAAAAAATAAGCATGTGGCAATTGACAAGTTCATATCTGTAAATATACCAAATTTATATTACATGCAAAACAAGTTTCATGGTAGATGTTTATTTTTTAACCATCATTTGTAAGTAAAATACATGTTATGTATATATATACTTGTCTTTTCACTTTTCAGTTATTTTCACCACAACCATACTCTGTCCATTTGAATACCAATTATCTATTTGAAAAATATTTAGATTTTGTAATGTATCTTTAACCATATTTAATGAATTTCCATGTGATGAATTTCATTCAAATAGAACTCTTCTATTAATTTGATGAAGATTTTGTTGACATTAAGTTTTGGTACCTCTTGAGCATTTTAAGAATTTAACGTGTTTTAACATTTTATTACATCAGTTAACATTTTTATTTAACATATATGAGTTTTATACTAGTAAAGCTAAATTTGTTTTTAAATCTGATAGAAAATTACAGAGAGAATACATCAGATGATTGTGGAAATAAAAACCTTCTTCTTTACTTTAGTGGATGATGGAGCTATTTTAGATGCAACTTTCAGCAAATTTTATCATCAGCCTCCTCAAGGTTTTGATAAAATCATGGTGGAGAAGTCCTTATTGTAAAAAAGAAATTCTTATATCTATCTACTTTTCAAGTGAAAGCATGTGAGCCAGCTCCAGCCAAGTACACCTCAATCTAGGTATTCATGATGGTTATAAAATGCTGCTGAAAAACATAAAGATCAGCATTATCTTGTATGTTTGAAAGACTTTCAGGGCTCTTAAGACATGGAATTTTTAGATATAACATTTGGTGTGCATTTTGGACTTGGTAAAAACATAGAAATACAGTGTGCAAGTGTTTGTTTTTGTGAATATATATACAATTTTATTTCAGCATGACATTAAGATAATAATGGTGTTGGGTTACTCATGATAAAGTAATTTTGTTGTACTTATTTTAGAACACAGAAACAACCATTTTTCTTTCTTTATTTATTTTTTGTGTTTGAATTATAAGAAAATAGTATTTTGGAAAACTGTTTGAAGAATTTTTATTTAAAACTTTGTATAGGTACTAAAATTCCAAAACAAACATCTTATATGAGCAGTAACTCAATAAATACATGCATTTTAATATTAAAATATAAGGTAATTCTAATTCCACCACAAGTTCTATGTTATGTTGTAAGACATGCTTGGGTTATTTTTTATGCAACATTTTATTTACTGGTTTCATTCTGCTTGTATTAGTTTATTGTTTACTTAACGTTCTAAGACCTTTGGAGCTTTGCTTAAACTCAGTTGGGGTTAAAAGTAGTATAATCACTCATGTATATAAAAAATCATTATGATTTTCTTTTCAGATTCTGTCATATTCTTTAAGAGAAACATGTTTGACTGGTGAAATCTTGTAAATGAAAAAGTGTTTAGTTGTGTATAATGCTTTAGTGTTAGATTTGCTAATTTATTCCTTGTTGCTATTTCCTTAACTCTGCTGCTTGTTAAAGAAAACTCTTATGAACCGTTGTCAAAATTTTAGTGTAAGATGGTAAAGAATATGATAGAACAAGAAGGGTTAATGGTAATAGCACTGGAGGAGTGCTCATAAGGATTCTTGTATGAAAGTCCAGTTACTTGTCGAGTAAGAAGTCCCTTTAATATTTTATATATACATATTCTCTCAAGAGTAATATACAAACAGGATATTAGACAAGTTATCACATTTACCACATTGCTATCAGTTGTTTTGACCTATTCTGTATTTTTTAAGGTGACTGTTATTTGGTGTATTTTATAATGATGTATATTAATGAATGATAATTGATAGAGAGGAATAAAAGTTAGTGAATATGTCATTTTTGTAATCTCTTTTCAAGTAAGTCAATTTCCTCAGCATTATTTAGGAGTAATAAATGTTAACACTAGTTGTTACTTCATAACTCTTGAGCAGTGAGACTATTTATATTCTGTAAAGTTTACAAAAAAGAAAGAGCTTTAACTTTTCAGCATCAATTTCCCTTTCTATTGACTTGTAGTTGTTTTAGTAATTATACTTTAGTACATGAGTCCTGTGATAATTGTATTCACACTGCTTATTAATACTATGAATATTTCTAAATATGTCAATTATTTGGAGAATTCAGATTGATTTGTGATTTTAAGTTTGAGCAAATGAACACAGAAAAAATTGATACAGACAGATGAACAAACTGTAGTAACTTTACAGTCCTTTAGTGACTTGTAAAACTTAAATCTAGGGTTTGATTCCCCATGGTGGACAAGCACAGTTAGCCTACTAAAACAAATAAAACTAAACTGACATGTATTTCTGTGACTCTTAATGAGATTATATGCAAGTAATTTTGTTGAGTTTGTTCATATAAATCCAGTATATTTATGGAATACTCTTTGGTGCCTGGTATATTGTTAAAGCAAACTGTAAATAAAAGTGTAGAAAATAAAGAGGTTCTGAACTAAGTTTGTTTTATAAACTGCATTCTTTATATAGTGAACATTAGTAAGTGACAGTACTAGATATTTTTATTTTGAATAATGATTGTAGTGTTGACCTATGTGAACTGTTCTGTTATAGTTCATGCTCTTCTAAGTTACTTTGCCAGTTTTTGGTTGAGTTTCTTGTGCTGTGATGTTTTAATCTCAAGTTTTATATGTATATAGAACTAAAAACAGTTATTCTTTTGTTAAATTAGCTTAAAGTTATAAATTACAAATTAATTAGGCCATGGATCTGCAAAAATTACAAGTTTAGTTTGTTGGTCCAAAATCATTGTTCACAGGTAAAGATTTTGTTTGAAATAATGTAGTTGCATAAAATTTGTAAAGTGACATTGAAGATTATTAAATAAGCATACTTAATGGAAACAAATTTACACCATTACACTAGTCGTGAAAATGAGTGTTTCAATAAAAAATAAACTACCTTTATTCTGAGCAAGTGTGCTTGATTTGATATAGCAAAGTTCAAATATAATCTCTCAGTCCTGAAATTACACAGATACAAGTCAAATATGCTGCTTGTGTATCTTGTAAGTAACTTGTGATTGCACTGTTTGATTTGTTTTGCTTTCAAAATCATTAAAAGTATTGTGGTATATTATGTGAATAAAAATATTTTATAAGGCATATTAGTAGTAATTAATTTGTTTTTTGATAGATTGTATATATGTCTTTGTCAGAATTTAAAAATATAGATTCTTCATTTTGCCAATTGTTAAAAAAAGGCTTTTAGTTACATTTCTTAATAGTATAAATATATACTATGTTGGTGTTGGGCTTAGGATTCTTCTACAGTAGGTGTCTGTAACTTGTCAAGGATGAATAAACAGCACGCACTTCACTTGTTTTAAAAATAATATATGTATTCAGAACAAATTAACGTATGTACAATAAATTCTTCAACACTATAAATATTATGGGCATATCTTAAATACTGTATATATAGTTCTCTCCTTCTTGTCAAATATCCACTTATGCCTGTTCAATTACTTTAGAAGTTCAGTTGACAAACTGAACTATCTTCTCTATTTCTATTGCACTAGTATTCTGCGTGTGATTCTCTTACAATTGTGGCACGAGTTACTGTAATTGTTTGGTCTTCTTTCTTCTGGAGATCCTCTGTTACTTTTGTTAAAGTGCACTCAGGCTGATTAAATTACTTTAGAATCATGTTTTGATGGAATAAAATTATTTTTCTTGTCTTATTTTCTACTATTAGTTTCACTCTAACCTATTAAACGTTAGGCCTATCACTTCTACAGTACTTAACTTCAAGCCAACTTTATTCTCTTTTGCTATTGCTGCTTCCTGGTTGTTTCACAATATTTATATCTTTATCACTTAATCATCTGTCCACCTTTTATATTATCAACATCAATATATTTCATGTGACATTTGATATTCTCAACATCAATGAATTATTAACAAAACTTCCTACAGTTGTCTGCTTTAAACTCTTATTGTAACAAAATTAAACAACAATAAAATATTCACTCACAAAAATATATTAATCAATAATATCTAAACCAAACAGTCTTTTTGGTGAGATTTAAAAGAAATAGGATTATTCCACAGTATATACAAGTGAAATGTAATATCAAAGGACAAAAAGTAGAATCTTGTGTGAAAAAAATCAAACAACAGATATTGGGGATTGCAATTCAACAGAAAAGAAGAGACACAGCCAAACTAGAAAAGGAGGTATATCAACTACACCTAGAAGTGGCAGAAGGAAACTCTGTAGATCCTTGAGTTGAATAGGAAAGACTTACTTGGATTTGGACAATGCAAGACAATGATAAATATAAGTATGAATTGGATCAGAAATAAAAAAGATGAACTTATTATATTGGATAATTTACTTACAAATTATAAGAAATTCTTGGAGAATATGAAAATAATAAATAAGTCAGACATAGCACTTAATAATAATCGGCTAGATGTATTTAATAAAGGTCTAGATTTTGCACATAAACTTTCATAGAGTTAAAAAGGAAGAATTAATAACAGATATACAAACTAATTTGGATAAAGTGATTGACAAGAACTCTAAACTTATAATTAGAACTGAATATCATAAACTTGTAAAAAATTTCAATCCTGTGGGAAGGAAACAAAATACTGATATAGAAGCCATAAAGTCATTAACAGATAATAAAGATATTATTTATAAAGCAGATAAAGGAGAGAAAATTGTAGTACTTAATAAATATGACTACATTAAAGGTGTAGGAGATTTATTAAGTGAAGCTACTTACGGAAAACTTGGACACAACCCTACAAATAAGTACCACAATTTGTAAAAACAGGTGTTAAAAACCATTTAACAGATGCAGAGAAGCATAGATTTATTCCTGTTAATTTTATTACTCAGAGATTTTATGCACTTCCAAAAATACACAAAATGAATGATAGTTTTTAGACCAATTGTATCGACTATAGGTATATCTTCATATGAAATAACTAAATATGTAGCTCAGAAGTATTCTAGTTTGAGAAGTAAAAATGCTGTAGAATTTGTATAAAAATTCAAGGATATACAATTGACTAAAGATGATTTGTTAGTTAATATCATTATTTACAAAAGTTCCAGTTGAAGATGCAATTAAGTGTTTTGAAAATACATTGTTCCAAAATAATACTTCCATAGTTGAAATTCTAGATATAATTAAAGATGATTTGTTAGTTAATATCATTATTTACAAAAGTTCCAGTTGAAGATGCAATTAAGTGTTTTGAAAATACATTGTTCCAAAATAATACTTCCGTAGTTGAAATTCTAGATATAATTAATTTAACAAAGGTGTGTGTTACGAATCAATTCTTTGAGGTTAACAATGTTTTTATCAACAAAATGAAGGGTTGGCAATGGGATCTCTACTTTCACCATTGTTATATGATTTATATATGAATGTATTTGAAATAAAAGCCATAAATGGTGCAAAATGTAAACCTGAGATTTGTATAAGGTATGTAGATGACACATTCTTGGTGTGGAAATATGGTATTGAGGCGTTAACAGAATTTGCAAACTATTTAAATAGCATAGAACCTTCTGTACAATTTACTCATGAAATTGAGAAAAATAATAGTTTGCCTTTTTTAGATGTATTGGTAAAAAGGAATGAACAGGGATTTATAGAAACGTCTATTTATAGGAAACCTTTTTCTGTTCTTATGCCACCACCCTAAGAATCATGTCATAGAGAAACACAAAAAATGTCTGCATTTTACACTTATATTCACAAAATTTTGAGGATATGTACAAAACAAGATGATTTAAAAAAGGAGTTGTTACTGATAAAATATATAGCAGTTGAAAGAGGATTTAAACAAAGTATTGTAGATAGATTAGTTAATAAATTCACTAATGTGGCATTAATAGATCAAGGTATCACACTGAAACAAAGTTATGATAAAATTAAAAAGGAATGTTTAGTGTTACCATATATTCCAGGTTTAACTACTGATTTATTTGAAATTAAAAAAATAAAAACATGTTTTTCTCTATATTTAAACCAATAAATAAGATGAAACAAATTTTAGGCAATAGTAAAGATGATGTTCAATTAATGAATAAATTTGGAATTTATAAAATTGAATGTGAATGTGGAAGTATCTATATTGGACAAACAAAACGTAATTTAAAATATCATATAGCCGAACATAAGAGATGTATAAAAAATTTAAAAACAGAAAATTTGGCTATAGCAGAACATGTAAATAAAACCAAACATAACATATGGGAAAAACAATTGTATTAGCTCAACCTAAAGGTGTTACAGCAACTAATACTTGAGAATTGCTGGAAATAATAAAACTTAAAAATAATTATAAATGATTAAATAGAGATGAAGGTCTGGTGAATATCTGTCTAAAAATGTGGCAAGACCTCTTCTGATATTTATGCACAAATGCAAAATTGTCACGTGAAATTCAAGAAATTATAAAATGTGAAATTTATCTCTTGCAACTTCACTCCTGAAGATGACGTGTGAAGCATCAAAACATGTAAAGTCATGATTTTTATTGTGTATTGATTTCATTCAGTTCTGGCAAGTGAAGCATGGCAGACTGAGTATAAAGATTGGGGTACAGGCATTCTTCATGTATGCTTTATACATATTATGCCATACCATTGTGGTAACTATCCAATATCAAGGAAAGTGTTGTCTGTCTGTGAGCACATCTCCTCCTAAACAAGTTGATCGATTTAAACCAAACTTGGCATGCTAACTTAGTATTCCAAAAGCAAACCAAATTCATATTAAACTTTTCCATACATTTTGAAAAATTAAAATATTTTATAGAATAACCCTTATATCATTACTGCAGTAGCTATTGTGAATAGTTAAGTTTGAATAAAACTCTCACAACAACAAAATTCTACAAGTCAAAGATTGTAAATAACATTTTCAGCATTTTGGCTTGTTTCCCACAATAATCAAAATGTACAATAATTAAATAACCAGCTTCAGTGTGGAGAATAAAGATATTGCTGCTGTTTGAATTTACTGCTCTTTTCTGTTTCACACCACTTATGGTTTATACCAGGGTTAGAATAAGCACTTAAGTATGAATTAGAGAAATATTTCATAATTAAAATATTTGTTAGGATATTTCTTACTTTTTGATGTAGAATCTAGTTTTCTGTAGAAGCAAAATATGAGATTATTATGAAATTTAATGCATTTAATATACCAAATTCAGACAGTAGAAAGTTTTACTTGTAGACTTTCACCAAGACCAGAGCTGAGTATGCAATTTGCTGCTCAGAAAGTTAGTCAAATTCACATCTAAGTAATTTATATTTCTAACATTAAGAAATATAGTCAACTTCTATCTCAGTTAAAATAAATATGATGTTTCAAGGTAATCTCAAATTCTATACTTATTCAGCTATGCAACTTACAAGTCTTCCAGGATCATAAACAAAATAAATTGTTCTAATCATTTTATGCCCCTGTTCTAACGTTTTTAGAATGCAGCTCCATAGTGCATATTGTTTCAGTCTTATGTCTTCAGTGTGAATGACATAAATTATCACTTAACGCTGAATCCATGATCAATTGCAATACTTTTAACTCTCTAGGGCGCTCGACTCGCAATCTGTGGGTCGCGGGTTCGATTCCCCGTCACACCAAACATGCTCGCCCTTTCAGTCGTGGGGGCGTTATAATGTGACGGTCAATCCTACTATTCATAAGTAAAAGAGTGGCCCAAGAGTTGGCGGTGGGTGGTGATGACTAGCTGCCTTCCCTCTAGTCTTACACTGCTAAATTAGGGACGGCTAGTGCACATAGCCCTCGTGTAGCTTTGCGCAAAATTCAAAACAAACAAACAAACCACCGGCCAGGTGGTTAGGGCGCACGACCCGCAATCTGA